ACTGATGGAATTCTCAAAATGGAAGTGACAATTCTAGAGTAAGAGGAGAGGATACCAGTGAGTGGAACAACACCCAGAAGTCCACCTGCCAGATACACTGCCAGGTCATTGAGGAAGGTATCAGAGCAAGCAAGTTGGATCATCTGATTAAGTTCACAGAAAAAGTGAAGGATTTCCAGATCTGTGCAAAAAGAGAGTCGCAAAATTAGTAAGTCATGTAATAGAGAGTTAAAAATACTCAATACCCAGGATCCCAGGAGCAGGATGCCACAGAACTTGGGGTTCATGATGACCATGTAGTGCAGTGGGTGACAGATGGCCACGAACCGGTCATAGGCCATCACGGTCAAGAGGAAGGTGTCTAATACTCCAAAAAGCATGAAAAAGTACATCTGACTGAGACAACTTTTGTAGGAGATCACTTTGCTCTGCGTCTGGATGTTCAGCAGCATCTTTGGGACGGTGGTGGAGGTGAAACAGATGTCTGAAAAGCACAAGTTGGAGAGGAAGAAGTACATGGGCGTGTGGAGGCGGGAGTCTGTGATAATGGCCAGGATCATGAGCAGGTTCCCAGTGAAGGTGACCAGGTACATGGACAGGAACACCCAAAAGAGCAGTGACTGAAGATCCCCCTCATGTGAGAGTCCCAAGAGGATAAATTCTGTCACACGGGTTTGATTTCTTCCTTCCATTTGTCTGGTGAAAACAGCTGGAACAGAGACAAGAGCATTGTAAAGGCACAGGCAGTTATCACAGAATTGAAAGAAATGCTGTGTTTTCAACATACTTCACTCATTAATTATTATACATTCCCTACCATTCTTGAATAGGTACCAGAAAATTTCAGAGAATCTGAATGTTCCATGTTTTCCATGAGTCTGAAACTGTTTGCAATTCTTGTGCTGAATCAAAACAATTGTTCAAAGCAATGTTCTTCTCCATAAATTTCCCGAGACCTTTTTTTTTGACCCAACAAAATTTACAAATTATATTGTGACAAGTGTTGTTGAAAGCATAGCAAAAAGTAGTGATGTGTGTTTTACCTTAACAAGACTGAGTCTAAGATGTGTGTGTCTCACAGGGAGGAATAGAATATTCATAAAGTAATAAATGACGTTTCAAGTGGTGGTTAAACTAACAGGTAAAATAATTCAGGACAACGTTGTCCTAAGTGGAAGGAAACCTGCCTTTGTATCATGTGCGATCAGGAGTTTCTGAGCTGGGAAACCAGAAATATATGAACCGTGCAGATATCTTTGAACAAAACACTTAAGGCAGAGAAATCGCATGTGGAAAGAACTTGAATCAAGAGCTCACAGGAAAACATCAGGCAACATCAAAGAGAATGTTGTGAGAAGAGCAGGTAACACAACAGGAGTAGGAGTTGGATGCAAATAACAGAGAGAAGAGCTCAAAGCCTTCTGCATCTGTGGAAACATTCTAAGGCAATGG